TTTTGAAGAGGGACAGGGTGAAAGGAGAGAGAGAATAGAATAAATGGGGGGGTATAGGATGAAGAGAAATAGAGTTAGTAATCATAACAGTAAAAAAATTTTTTAAAGCAAATTTCTCTGATAAAGGCCTCATTTCTCAAATATGTAGAAAACTGAGTCAAATTTATTTAAAAAAAACATTCCCCAATTGATAAGTGATCAAAAGATATGATAAATTTATATGAAAAAATGCTCTAAATTGCTATTGATTGGACAAATGCAAATTAAAACAATTCTGAAATGCTACCTCACACCTATTAGATTGGCTAATATGACAGAAAAGGAAAATGACAAATGTTGGAGTGGATGTGGAGACATTGGAACATACGTATTAATGCTTTGTTGTTGGAGTTGTGAGCAATTTGGAACCACGCCCAAAGGGCTATCAAACCATGCATGTCCTTTGGCCTAGCAATACCACTACTAGGTCTGTGTCTTAAAAAAGATATAAAACCAAAAGAGAAAGGGCCTACATATACAAAAATATTTATAGCCTCTCTTTTGTGGTAGCAAAGAATTGGAAATTGAGGGGATGCCCATCAATTGGGGACTGGCTGAATAAGTTCTGGTATATGACTGTGATGGAATACTATTGTGCTGTAAGAAATGGTGAGGAGGGGCAGCTAGGTGGCGCAGTGGATAGAGCACTGGCCCTGGAGTCAGGAGGATCTGAGTTCAAATGTGCCCTAAGACACTTAACACTAGCTGTGACCTTGAGCAAGTCACTTAACCCCATTGTCTAGCCAAAAAAGAAAAAAAAAAAGAAATGATGAGTAGGACACTCAGAAAAACCTGGAAAAGACACATGAACTGATGCAAAGTGAAATGGATAGAATGAGGAGAACCTTGTACATAGTAACAGCAATATCATAAGATGATCAGCTGTGAATGACTTAGCTGTCTTCAGTAATACAATGATCCAAGACAACTTTGAGGGACTTATGATGAAAAATATTATCTATCCCCAGAGAAAGAAATGATAGTCTGAATACAGATCAAAGTGGACTTTATTTACTTTATTTTTGTTGAGGTTTTTTTTTTTGGGGGGTCTATGTTTTCTTTTACAATAAGACTAATATGGAAATATATTTTGCATGACTACACATGTATAACATATCAAATTGCTTGCTTTCTGAATGAGGAGAGGTGAGGAAGGAGGAATGGAGAGAATTCAGAACTCAAAAATTTTAAAAACAAATGTTAAAAATTGTCTTAATGTGTAATTGGGAAAAAATAAAATTCCAAATAAATAATTTTTTTGAAAAAGAAAAAAACTGCAAAAATGTTTTTTTGTTTTTTAAGACACTTTGATCATGGTTGTTATTTTTTTAAAATCATATCCTTAATTGCAATCACTTTAGAATTTCAGCAATTTATGTTTAAAATGTATATTACCATTGTAAAAGCAGTTTTATACTGCTTTTATACTGGTAGAAATTGTAATAGAAATACACCTCTCTTCATTTATCAATTATTTAGTATTAACTTTCTCCAGATTCTGAAAAATTAAGAGTAAACAAAAAAGAAAGTAAGTATGATTGTTAATTTGGAAAACTGCTTTGAGTTGATCTCCTAGGCAACCTAACAGATCCCTATTGTTAATTTCGCAGTCCAGCCTTTTGTAAACTGTTAATGGGGTTGGGAGAATCCAGGACCCGGATCCTGGGCTTCAACAGGTCTCCTAACAAAGTTTTTGTAATTACTAAAAAAAAAAAATCTTAATGGATTTTTTAAAAAAGGATTTATGTGGGACTAGAAATAGGCGGTGCACATTTCTTTCTCCTTTTAGAAGAACGAGAGCGGTTTGGAGCTCTTTGATTTAGTAATTAACATCTGAATTGCAGCTAATCGTGCTTTTAATTGTGATAAGTAAATTCATGAAGAAAAGCACCTGGACTGAAATTTACTTTATAGCGTGGGAAGGTGTAACAGCAGTATGTGAAGTTGAAATGTGAAGGAAAGTCTGTGTAATGTGTTTGAAAGATTCGGAAAGAGAACTAAAAGCTGGGGGGAAACATGGGAGGTAGGTGAAAAGGCACACCCGGCCCACAACAAGCGGGGGCAGCAAGATAGTGCTGCAAGTCCCTCTTGTCCATGGGCAGTGGCTCCCGGTGCCCCGCGTGCCAGCTTCAGTTGGGCAAGTTTGGCTTCTGTATAAGTACATTGAGAATGAAAAATCTTGTAGCTTGACTTGAAAATCAATACAGACGGCTATACAGGGTTAGGAGGAATTTGATAAACGAGGTGTTCCTATGTGTGATAACTGGGGTAGAATACTGCCACTTCGAAAATCTGTATTGGTGGATTAGATGGAAATAATGAATCCCATCATATAAAATTCTCTGAGTAAACAGTCCTTATGTAAAATGTATAAAGTAACTGAAATCATAAATTAAGGTTCTATATGATACCATTTGGAAAATAGATCCAGGTGTAATTGAATTGATCCTGCCCCGGACTACTTTTCCCAGCCCGGCACGCCGTCTGCTTTCTAGTCCCTGGACCGCTCTCGGTCAGTTGCCATGGAAACGATCACCAACTAGGAATGGGAGAGAAGGGGCTGAAGCTGTCGGAGCCGGAGCTGGAGCCGGAGCCGGAGCCGGAGCCGGGGCCGGGGCCGGGGCCGGGACCGGAGCCACCTGATGGGGACTCCGGGGCCCCGCCGTCCCCTCTCCTCACCGGGTGAGAGAGGCCGCCTCGGCCCCAGTCGCCACCTGCCCGCGCTGCCCTGGCCGGCGCTCGCTCCTTCTTCATCCTCTTCCTCACCCTGTTCCCCTTAGCATTTCACCCCTTCTTCCCCCCTTCCTCCTCGTCCCTTTCCTCTTCTCCCCTCTTTCCACCACTCCTCCCTTTGCCCCCTAGCCGCTTATCCCCTTCCCGCACATCCCTTTCCCACTCGTCCCTTTCCCGCGCATCTCCGTCCCCCACATCCCTTTCTCACTCATTCTTTTCCCGCGCATTTCCTTCCCGCGCATCTCCTTCCCCCACATCCCTTTCCCACTTTTTCTCTCCCTTTCCTTCTTTTCTTTCCTCTCCCTTCTCCCTATCTCCTCTTTATTTCTCTCCTTTTCCCCTTCCCTCACTTCATCTTTCCTCCCCATTTCCCTCCTCTCTTCCTCCCCTCTTTCCCCTTGTCCCCTTTCCTTCTTTCTCTTCCCCTTTCTCTCCTTTCCTTTCCCCTCCTTGCCTGCCCTCCTTCCCCCTTCTCTTTCTTTCCTTCCCTCCTCTCTCTCTCTCTTTTCGTCTCCTCCCCTCCTTTCCTTCCCCTCCTTCTTCCTCCTTGCCTTCCCTCCTTCCCCTTCCCTTTCTTTCTTCTCTCTCTCTCTCTCTCTCTCTCTCTCTCTCTCTCTCTCTCTCTCCCTCCCTCCCCCTTTCAACTCCTCCCCTCTTCTTTTCTTCCCCTCCTTTTCCCTCCTTGCCTTCCCTCCTTCCCCCTTCTCTTTCTTTCCTTTCCTTCTCTCTCCATGTTTCTCTCTCTTTTTGTCTCCTCCCCTCTTCTTTCCTTCCCCTCCTTCCTTCCCTCTTGCCTTTCCCTCCTTTCCTCTTCTCTCTCTCTCCCTCTCCTTTCCTCTTTCTCTCTCCCTCTCTCTCCCTCTCTACTTTTGCCTCCTCCCTTCTTTCCTTCCCCTCCTTTTCCTTTCTTGCTTTCCCTCCTTCCCCCTTCTCTTGCTTTCCTTTCCTCCTCCTCCTCCTCTCTCTCTCCTTTTGCCTCCTCCCCTCTTCTTTCCTTCCCCTCCTTCTCGCTCCTTGCCTTCCCTCCCTCCCCTTCTCCTTTCTCTTCTCTCTCTCTCTCTCTCTCTCTCTCTCTCTCTCTCTCTCCCTCCCTCCCTCCCCCTTTCAACTCCTCCCCTCTTCTTTTCTTCTCCTCCTTTCCCCTCCTTGCCTTCCCTCCTTCCCCCTTCTCTTTCTTTCCTTTCCTTCTCTCTCCATCTCTCTCTCTCTCCTTTTGTCTCCTCCCCTCTTCTTTCCTTCCCTCTTGCCTTTCCCTCCTTTCCTCTTCTCTCTCTCTCTCTCCCTCTCCTTTCCTCTTTCTCTCTTTCTCTCTCCCTCTCTCTCCCCCTTCACCTCCTCCCCTCTTCTTTCCTTCCCCTCCTCCCTCTTTGCCTTCTCTCCTTTCCCTTCCTCTTTCTTTCCTTCTCTCTCTCTCCCTCTCTCTCTCCCTTCACCTCCTCTCCTCTTCTTTTCTTCCCTTCCTCCCTCCTTGCCTTCCCTCCTTCCCCCTTCGCTTTCTTTCCTTTCCTCCTCCTCCTTCTCTCTCTCTCTCTCTCTTTCTCTCTCTCTCCCTTTCAACTCCTCTCCTCTTCTTTCCATCCCCTCCTCTCCCTTTCTTTCCTTCTCTCTCTCTCTCTCTCTCTCTCTCTCTCTCTCTCTCTCTCTCTCTCTCTCTCTCTCTCCCTCTCTCCCCCCTCTCCTTTTGCCTCCTCCCTCTTTCCTTCCCCTCCTTTTCCCTCCTTCCCCCTTCTCTTTCCTTTCCTTTCCTCCTCCTCCTCTCTCTCTCCTTTCACTTCCTCCCCTCTTCTTTCCTTCCCCTCCTTTTCCTTCCTTGCCTTCTCTCCTCTCTCTCTCTCTCTCTCTCTCTCTCTCTCTCTCTCTCTCTCTCTCTCTCTCTCTCTCTCTCTCTCTCTCTCTCCCCTTCCCCTCCTCCCCTCTTCTTCCCTTCTCCTCCCTTGCCTCCCCTCCTTTGCTTTCCCTTTCTTCTTTCTTCCTCCCCTCCTTTTTCTGTCCCTCTGTCTCCCTCTCTCTCTTCCTTCCTCCCACCCTTTTCCTCCTTTTCTTCCTCCCTTTTCTGCCCTTTCCAGACTGTTCAGGTTCTCTGCCTCCTCTTTGGATTCCATATTCGAGAGTTAGAGCCCTATGGATTGGGAGGTTTCATCCTGGAGCTGAAACTTCCTGGGATGAACCTGGTCACAGGCCTGCACCCAGCCTCTGAGCCTGAGCTTAGGGGAGAAAGGGCATTCAGTGGCATTCATTCATTCATTCATTCATTCAGTCAATCATTTGCAGGCCTTGTATCCATCCCTACTGCTACCTTGGGCTAAACCTGGACCCCAGAATTTAAAGTTGGGGAAGAGAAGGAGAGGGGGGTGTTGGTTGTCTGTGTTCCCCCTTCAGGGACTTGTGTGGTGCCTTCATTTCCCTTAGATAGCAAAGCTCTTAACCCTTTTCTCTCTCATCTTGGGAACTAGGGGTGTAGAACTTCACACTTGTGCTGCCTGGGGCATTCATTGGTAAGAACTCTGGATTTAGGGAGCTCAGTTTTGAATCCTGGCTGTGCCATTTACTGCTTCTATGTGGTACAAACATTGTGTAAAACCTGAGATGAGCTAATCTCTGAAATTCCCCTTAAGCCTTCAATCTTTGATCCTACAATCTCCTCTTCTGTAGAAGTGTGAGGTTTTCCAGTCACATCCATGGGGGGTTGAAGGAAATGCTATTTATTTGTTCTCAGGAGGCCATCCTTCAGTTACTTGTGTGTAAAATTTGTCCTCCCCAGGCAGCAAGGACTGTGGCCCTTTTCCCTTCTCCTGGGAGCAGAGGAGCAAGGGTTGTGCCATCTTTTTCTTCTAACCTCAGGCCCTTTCTGAAGGTGGGGGATTTGTTTTCCCTGGGACCAGGGAAGTGCCAGCCTCTCTCATGTTTCCTCTCTGCTTCCCAGCTCTGCCTCTGAGGACTCTGCTCTTCCCCAAGAGGGAAGCATTCAGGAGAGAATGTTCCCTGTGATCCCAACAGCCAGGTGCCAGGTTAGTTGGATTTTCTTCTTTGCTGAAACAATACCTAGATTCTCAGGGTGTGCAAATGCTTCTGGTCCATATGCCAGAACTGAGGAAACTGGGTCCATTGTGATGGATGCAATCCTTACACCTTGAGGAATGCTTCCCAGAATAGCTGGTGTCAAGTCAGTAAGCATTAATTTAGTGCTTCCTATGTGCCAGACCCTGGGCTAAGCACAGGGGATACAAAAAAGGGCAAACTCAAGTCCCTGCCCTCACAGAGCTCACACTCTAATGGGGGAAATAACCTGGGAACAATTGAGGCAGCTAGGTGGTATAGTGGGTGGAAAGCTGGACCTGGTATCAGGAAGACCTGAGTTCATATCCAGCCTCAGACACTTACTGTCTGTGGGACCTTGAGCAAAAAACTTCACCTGCCTCAGTCGCTCATCTGTAAAAGGGGATCCTCCCAGGGGCGTTGTGAAGATCAAATGAGATAATATTAGTAAAGCACTTTGCAAACCTTGAGGTAACCTATAAATAAGAGATAGATTGGAGATAATCTCAGGCACTAGTGTCCCTTTCCTCTGACCCCAATTAATTAAATTGCTCAGCAATTTATTACTGCTATGTGCTTGGTACTGAGCTTGGTGCTGTGAATTCAAAAGACGTGTAATTGACATATTTGACATAATTGGTAAAAGATATGTAATTGAAACTTATTATGGAGATTTCAGTTTCCTTGAGGGAAGACCAACTATTTTATATGTATTAACTGATGCATTTTTAGCATGGTTTTTATTTTATTTTATTGCATTTATTTAGTATTTTATTTTTCCCCAATTACATATAAAAACAATTTTTAACATTCATTTTTAAAACTTGGAATTCCAAATTCTCTTCCTTCCTCCCTCCCCAACTCACCATCCATTTAGAAGGCAGGCAGTTCACTATATATTATATCAGTGTAATCATGCAAAACATTTCCATAATAATCATGTAGTGAAAGAAAGCATAGACCAAAGAAAACACACACACACACACACACAACACACACACACACACACACAAAACCATAGAACAAAAAAAAAATCTTCAAGAAAAATTAAAAAGTAAAAAAGCATGCTTCAATCTGGCACGCAGACACCATCAGTTCTTTCTCTAGGAATTAGTGGCATTTTCATCATAACTCCTTCAGAGTAGTCTTGGATCATTGTATTGCTGAGAATAGCTAAGTCATTCACAGCTGATCATCTTAAAATATTGCTGTTACTTTGTACACAGCACATTTCACTTTGCATTAGTCTGGCATTATTTTTAAAAAGACCAAAATGAGGGCAGCTAGGTGACACAATGGATAGAGTACCAGTCCTAGAGTCAGGAGGATCTGAGTTCAAATCTGACCTCAGACACTTACTAGCTGTGTGACTCTGGGCAAGTCATTTAACCCCAATTGCCTTAAAAAAAAAAAAAAAGACCAAAATGAGAAGGTGTAGACATTCAAGGCTATAGAAATTCAGAGAACAAAGATGTTGATACGGGTTCAGATGAGAAGTGAAGTGTTCCTGAAAGTACATTTTGGTTTGATATGGGTAGCATGTAGTTAGTTGGGAAAGGAAGGAATTAACCTGTTACTTGTGGTAACTGGTGAATAGTCCCTAGCCGTATTTTCCTGTGGAAGGCAGGTCATGGTAGGGGAACATTATAAATGAATTCAGATGGGTGCCCATTGTAGTAAGCTGTGAGTATCGTTCTCAAGTGACTCATCCCAACCTTAATAGTGAACAAATCTTTGATGTAGGCAGGGAAACAAATGCTGCATATGGAGAGAGGTATGAAAGGCTAAAATTTAGGGGCTGAGATGAAGGTGTATGTGGCCTTTCACTCAAGGTAAACTCAGAGTTCTCTATAGGACTGTGGCTGAGGCACTGAAAGAAAAAAGGTGAATAAAAGGATACTGTGAGCCTAAAAAGTTCAGTGGAAGAGTATGCCTTGGGTAGAATTGGAGTTGGCCATTTGGGAAGAAAGACTAGTCAAAGTGGGGAATGTTCTGGAGCTCTATGAAGAGTTTAGAAATGAGCAGGTTTAAAATAGTCACTTGCCTACAGAGCATTGAGTAGGTGAAGCTTGATGTAAGCTGTACACAGATGAGAGTTCTCTCACCTTAGTATGGCTTCTCCTTACCAGTCTCAATCCTCATTGTTCTCTTTTTCACCTTAAATGGAGCCACTTAGATTACTGCAGTAGCCTCCTACCTGCCTTTCACTTCTCTGTTTGTCTTTCCCCATTCTGTCCATCCATCCATCCGTCTATCCATCTGTCTTTCCATCCATCCACCTATCCATCCATCTATCCCATTGTTGCCAGATTCAGCTTCCTCATGCAGACACCTGAGTGTATCATTTGTTTGTTGAAGACACTTCAGCAAATCCCTATCCACCTGTGCATTACAATTCACATTCTTTTTTTTTTGAACATTCAGGACCCTCAACAATTTGAAATCATTTCCCCCCTTCCCTTTTCTAGTCTTATCTGAGAGAATTTTCCTCTTTGTGCCCGTGCTCTGGAACAGTGGTGTCAAATTAATAATGAGGACCACTGAGCTGTGTGTATGATCTCCGTGGGCACATGTTGACTTTGTTTTAAATGTAATGTCATCTGTGTCTTTTTGTGTCTTTATTTGTTTTGTTCAATATTTACCAATTCCATTTTAATCTGGTTCTGGCACACACAGGAGTGATGCATGAATGTGGCCCAGGGTTGAGACCTCTGATCTAGAATCATGAATTGGATAAATGCCACCCCCATGAAGAGCCCCTCTTGCGCATGCTGTTTTGCCTGGCACCACAATGACCTCTGTCCCCTGTACCTACCTGCTGAAATCCTATAAGACACAGCTGAACCACACAGGAAACCTGTCCTCACTTCTCAAATGAAATAATATTTTTGACAGCACTTAGGACAGTACCTGGCAGGTAGTGGCCACAATATCAATGCTTCTTTCTTTCCCTTCCACTGTTCATATCCTGCATCCAGTGATGAGAATTCTCTTCTTGCTTCTCACAACACATTTGGCTCTGCCTCTTTTATGCACTCACCTATATCCTTTGGCATAGCTTTCCACTCAGTGTAAACTTCAGGGACAAAGGGACCATGCCTTCTTTAATTTTTTATCTCCCCCTGTGCTTAGCTCAGGATTTTACATGTAGTAGACTTTTTTTTTTTAAAGACCAGATCTCCCTATCTCTTCTCAGGCTGGAAGTCCAGAGACCACTCAAGGGGCTGGTCCTACTCTGATGGCCTTGGGGCTTTGACCTCTGCAGTCTCTGACCTGGGCTGGTTCTTTCCTACTTAGGCAGCCTGGTGGCCCCTCTGCTGTCACAAGTTCATATATTAAAGCTGCATTTAATTTGGACCCTTGATGTATTTGTTGGCTTAGTGCATGGAAGCTCAGACCTCTGGAGCTTGAGAGATCCAGCACCCTTTTTCCTGGTAGCAGGGATTACAAGGATGTGCCACCATGCCTGGCCTGTAGGGGACAGTAAGCACGTTCTGAGGTGCCTGGGGGACATATTGAGTTTTGTTAGTCTTATATTTTACACTTCGTTTTTATTGATATATTTTGTTTTTGCGTTTTAGAAATATATCCTTCTCGTACCTAGATTTCTGTTACAGAAATATTAAAGCAGGGTAAGAAAAAGCAGTTTAGCAAAAGTAGCCGGGGTAGCTGGGTGACACAGTGGATAGAGTGCCAGGCCTGGAGCCAGGAAGACCTGAGTTCAAGTCCTGTCTCAAACACTAGCTGTGTGACCCTGGGCCAGTCACTTAACCCTGTTTCCCTTGATTTCCTCATCTGTAAAATGAGCTGGACAAAGAGATGACAAAGTACGCCAGTATGTCTGCCAAGAAAACCTTCTCACCCGGCAAAAAAGGAGGTCATGAAGCGTTGGACGTGACTGAAAACGACTGAATAACAGAATAGCTAATCAACGCATCAGTCATGTAACGCACATGAGACTCTCTGCAGCCAGGGTCCCCCGCCTTTTCAGGGAAGGGGAGAGCTACATTTTCTCACTTTTCTGGGACCAGGCGTAGGCGTTCTAATTCTGCAGCACCGTTTAGACTGTGTTTTGTTCTTTCTGTTTATTTTTTTGTCATTGTGCCTATTGTTTTTCTGGTGAGCTTCCTTAGGTTGCATTTCCTCCTTTTAAGCTCCTCCCTGATAGGGTACATCCGTCTGGATTGAGTGGAGCCAAATGACTTTATCAGAGGTGAACATCGAGACATGAGCACAAGAGGATATGACTTGTTTTAGGCCTGCTTGGGTAGCCAGAATGGGCTCTTGACATTGAATGATTAAACAAAGCTACCTTTGATGCAAATCCAATCCAGTACAAATTTGGGTGTGCAGTAGGAGTTTTTGAGGTATTTGATTAGGAATAATGAGAGTCCTGAATGTTGTGAGCACCATTCCTTCTAAACCAGACTAACTTTCTGTTTTCCCCAATGATGTTTTTTATAAGAGATAATTTTCTGTTGGATGTTTCAGGAAACATTGACTTTCAAGGATGTGGTGGTAGACTTCACCAGGGGAGAGTGGCAGCACCTGGACCCTGCTCAGAAGGACTTATACAAAGAAGTGATGCTGGACAATTATAAGAACCTGGTCTCCTTGGGTAAGGACAACTTTTCTCTGTAATTCACAATTCCACCCCCTTCACCTGACCCCTAGGGTTCAGGGGGAGGTGTGTGTGCTCACACACATCAGTCTTTATTGTCCCGATTTCTAGAGCCCCTGGGTGTCTCTGAAGTACTCTGCTAATTCTGACGTTCTGTGAAATCTAAAAATCTATTTAATGTTGTTGAGGTGAGAGTTGGGAGAGCTGGTTCAGGTGTGAAAGAATTCACTTAGAAGATTTTCCCTTAATCAATGGGAGCTTCACTTGGCAAGAGGATCACTGGCCTGAGATTAGCGAGGAGCTAAACAAAGGCCCTGATAAAGGGAAGAAAAACCAGGCTTATATAGACAGCTTGTAGCATCATGATGTAATTCTAGGGTTTCTTATGGAGGTTGAAGATTAGGGACAGGATAAGAACTAACAAAATGAGGAAGATGGTTGCTTAGGAGATAAGAAAAAATTGCATTGACGCAGGATGAGGGAGATGAATGACAGTATAGGGAATGCCGGATAAGGGAAACAAAAGCAATTCTTTTGGTACATACAAGTTGTATGGGATTTCAAGAGAAGGAGAAAAGGACTTTAGGAGCCCTCAAGTTCCAGGATGGGCTACAGAATGAGCCTCAAACCCCCTCAGGGGGCCCTGGGAAAGTAGCCCTTAATATTCTTTTAGCTTTTAGGGCACCATTTGTATCCACATAATTTCCCCACTCAACCACTAAGCAGGAGAAATCTTCAGGGGAAAAGGAAGTCATTGTCTTCAGTAGCTGCTTCCCGCTGAACAGGGACGAAGAGTCCCTTTCAAGGACCGAGAAGAGGTTGAGGAGGGGTGGTTGGCGGGTGGGTGCGGAATGCGGTGCCAGCTGAGTCCAGGGTGGAGGGAGGCAAGCCACTCAGACACCAGGGGGAGGGGTTGGCATCCTAAGAGCTGAAAATGGAATTTCTGCAGACGAGAAGACACAAAGCGAACCAGGGCGTTAAGCAAGCAGAGACCAAATATAAGAGCGAGTAAAATGATTAGTAATGGGGTCAGAATGGGGGAAAGAAGGGAGAGGAACCATGGCCACTGGGAGGAGGAGGGGGGAGACATCAGGCTGGAGTGGATGTCTTGCGTCCAAGAGGCTGCCTGTAGTATTCTTGAGTGTGGAGTTCTATCTTATGGGAATTATTAACATACGTACGACAAGAGGTGTTGGCCAAAGCACGAATACTTGCCTCCAGAGGAGGCGAGAAGAGAGTCAAGAGCAATACTGTTGTCCAGAACCACACTGGCTAAGGAGTTGAGTGACTCTCAAAGCCCAGAGAAGCCATGGGCTGCGTCGTTTGCCAGAAGCAAGATGGTGGCTATTAGGTTAGGGACAATTGTCTCATGTTTCCAGTAAAGGGAGTAAGGACTCAGCTCCGTTGGACAGGGACCTGAGAGTGTTTCCCCAAAAACCCTGTTTGACCTGAGGGGAATAGGAGTGAATATCATTGTAGATTTGGATCGGGGAATTTCCTGACCAAGGTGCACTGCCCAAATGATTGGTAAGGGGAGACACCGGGGGAGGTCAGGACAACATCAAGGGGGAGAAACATTAGGGGCGGCTAGTCCACAAAGGAAGACTGTTCTGGGACAGCACAAAGGGATCCCATGGTTCTATTTAAGCTAGATCGCAATTTTATTGCCTGAATTAGTGACGTATTGCGGGAACCAGGTAGATACCCGAGCCAGTATACATTCCATGCAGGGTTTTCTGGGGATAAGGGGAGAGTTATGGGGAGTAAGCTCCTATCCTGGGGATGATGGTGTCACACCCAGCAATCTGGTACTCGGCCTCACCCCACAGAGTTCCCTATTTGAATTAAGGCGTTAGGCTTCCAGCAGGCTTAGCCCCGGGCTCAGTAGGTATCAGGAAAAGGTGGGTTAGGGATAGAAGTAATTCAGGACAAGGCCCAGAACACAGCATCGCTGGAGAAAATAACATAGAGCCAGGGCTAGTGCGAAAAGCAAAAGGAGCTGCTCCCCCACTGTCATAAGTTTAAGTCCTGTGTTCCTTGAAGAGGAATTTCAGGTCCTCCACCGGCTGACACGAGTATTGGGGATGATGTTCGGAAGAACCTGTGGGGGAAGGCGAAGCAGGTTTAATTAGAGAAACACGGGTCCAGCTAGGGAGGCCTTCGAGCTTAACAGCAGTACAAGTATTTAGAATGACCTTATACTGCCCCCTCCACTTTTCATCCAGAGGGGTCTGTGCCTTGCGATTTCCACAATTTAAGATAGACCGAGTCGCTGGGGTAACTTAGAGAGGAGCTAGGGACTCATTTGCCCTGGGTGGGGAGGTGTGAATTAGTATAATGGGATAACCCCTTTTTCACTTGCCCTTGAGCTAGGGAGTATTTTGTCCAGAGCTGGTGTTCCTGTCTAAGATATCAGTGGTCAGAAAGGGTCTACCAAAGGTTGGTTCAAAGGGACTGAGGTTAACTTTGGCTCGAGGCCATCCTGACTCGGGGGAGGGCAGCTGGGAGGAGTCCTGCCCAACCTTGGCAAACTTCCAGAGTCAATCTAGTCATCTTTTCAACCTTGCCAGAAGACTGGGGATGCCAGGCAGAATGGAGGTCGTAGGTTATGCCGAGCAACCTTTTGGGTAATTTGGGAAGCAAAAGCCAGTCCATTATCGCTGGGAGCTTGGCAGTCCGAATCTGGGAATGACTTCCTTCAGAAATACTTCAGTCACTTCCACAGCAACTAGAGAAGGCCTGTCCAACTAGTGAAAGTGTCAGTAAGCACTAAGAGGAGTTTGAATCCTCTGCAAGGTGGCACGTGTTCATGTCCTCTACAAGAATATTGTCGTCTTTCCTCAGGGGTGTATTGAGGGCCTAAAGAGGGTGAGACCTGGGGAATTAGGGTATAGTTAAAGACTGGGTTCTTGCTTCGGCTTTGGTGGTGATATCTGCCAGCTGGTTTCTGCAGCCTGATCTGATTCCACCTTTTGCTGTCCCCTACAGTACATTTGTACTTTGGGGGCACATACAGCCTACAGCAGGCTTAAGATTTGAGGACCATGTCTGGTGGGGGAGGCCTTTGTGATTAGGAACCCTCTCTCCTGCCATATCACCCCATGGGCATGGAGCCCTTGGAAGGTGTATTTGTAATATTTGTAGGTGTTGATTCTCTTATCTCTCCCCAAATCTAAAGCTCTAACGAATGCTGTTAACTCAGCCTTTTGTGCTGAAGTCCCCACAGGCAAGGGGCGTGCTTCAGTGGTGCTGTGGAGGCAGATCAGTGAATAGCCTGCTCTCCTCCTTCCCCGGGCCCTCAGTGTACCCAGTATCATGGTGGTTTTCCAAGGGAATGTCTGTGAGGTCAGGGCGACTGGCTGGGGTGCGCCACCTTGAGAGCCTCCTCGCAGTCACACAAGGGATTCTCGGGATCTGCAGTGGAAGGGAGCAGGGTAGCAGGGTTCAGGGTGGAGCAGGGAGTATCAAGGAGGACACTTGGTCAGGAGGCCACTAGCCAGCCATTGCTGCCCTCTTACTTCCAAAATGCTCTGGACATGGTGCAGGGTCAGGACAGTCAGAAGCTGCCCCAAAGTGATCTTAGCAGCCTCCCCCATCAAGAGGGCTGTGGCAGCCACTGCCAGCCAGAGGCTGTTGTATCTAGCTGTTTAGAGAAGTATGCTAATATGCTACCTGGTGTGGATCTGGTCCCAGGCCCTGAGTAAGTTTGCCAACAGCCTGACCCGTTTTCCTCTATATATAGAGTGAAGGGTTTTCCTGAGTCGTGTACGGCTAGTGCCGGAGCAGAGGTCAAGTCTATTAAAAAAAACAAACCAGTAATTAATTTATTTTTAGTTTTCAGCATTCACTTTCATTAGCTTTTGAGTTTTCAATTTTCTCTCCCCCCCTTTGCCTTCCCAAGACGGCATGCAATCTTATATAGGCTATACATATACATTCTTATTAAATATGTTTTCATATTAGCAAGAAGAATTATAATGAATGGGAGGAACCACAAGAAAGAAGAAAGCAAAAACAAAAAAAAGAGAGAGAGAGCAAATAGTCTGCTTCGATCTGCATTCAGACTCCATAGTTTTTTTCTGGATGTGGACAGCATTTTCTATCATGAGTCGTTTGGAGCTGTCTTACATCCTTGCATTGACTACTGAGTCTTGTGTACCTAACCAATTCCACTGATCCACCACTCTTATTTCTTAGCTAGTACCAAGTAGTTTTGATGATTGTTGCTTTATAATACAATTTAAGATCTGGTACAGTTAGTCCACCTTCGCTAACATTTCTTTTCATTAATTCTCTTGATATTCTGGACCTTTTGTTCTTCCAGATGAATTTTGTTATTTTTTTTTTAGCTCCATAAAATTGTTTGGTAGTTTGATTGATATGGCACTGAATAAATAAATTAATTTAGGAAGAATCGTCATTTTTATTATATTAGCTTGGCCTATCCATGAGCAACTGATATTTTTCCAATTATTTAATCTGACTTTATTTATGTGAAAAGTGTTTTATAATTGTGTTCGTATAGTTCCTGAGTTTGTTTTGACATGTAGACTCCCAAATATTTTTATAATGTCTACAGTAACTTTAAATGGAATTTCTCTTTCTACCTCTTGCTGCTGGACTGTGTTAATATATAGAGATGCCAATGATTTGTTTTATATTTTATTATTTTATTTTATATCCTGCAACTTGCTAAAGTTGTTTATTATTTTAAGTAGTTTTTTACTTGATTCTCTAGGATTCTCTAAGTATATCATCATATCATCTGCAAAGAGTAATAGCTTAGTTTCTTCTTTGTCTATTCTAATTCCTTCAATTTCTTTTTCTTCTCTTATTGCTAAAGGTATTGTTTCTAGTACCATACTGAGTAACAGTTGTGACAATAGATATTCTTGTTTTACCCCCGATCTTATTGGAAATACTTTTAGCTTATCCACATTACAAAAATGCTTGCTGATGGTTTTAAGTAGATGCTGCTTAAGTAGAGGCTCCATTTA